GTCTTGTGTTGCCTTAATATTCATAGTAAAATAAGATCATTCTTTCCATTGGTGTCTGTGTTCTTTAAATAGCCCCCATCACTTGGCAGAACAGGGGTTTGGGGTTACCTCTGACTTCTCAATTTGTAGCAGAGCTGTGTCTCTGAACTCTCTTTTTCCAGGCAGATCCAGTGGCAGGGTTTGTAAACACACAMACATTGCTTCCAAGGGGCCCATAAAAGCAGCTTTTGGAAGGGGAGGTGGYGCAGAGCAACAGGAATTTTTAAATTCCTCTTGAGAGGAAGCATCACTCAAGAGATGTGAAAGGAAAAACTACCTGTAACCCAGATTTCCGTACTGTGGTCTCCTTCAAAGGTCAATGCTCCCTCCCCTCCCCTTTTTCTTTTTTTTTTTCTTTTTGGCTTCAATTTCCACAAGATCTGTAACATCAGGAAATGCTTGGCACAACAGACTAAGCCCTCAAACTTCACACACAGGAAAACTATTGCTCTTTAAACCCTCCCTGAACTCGTTAGCCCACACCAGAAGGTGAACAATTAAGAGGGATCAGGCACCATCAGATGCTTGCAGCATGCTCCCAGAGGATCCAGCTGTATCCTCATCCTTTCCCAAAGAGCAGAACTTGGCAGTGCAATTCAGGACAGAGATACTCCGTGCAGTATCTAGAGCAAATTAAACCTCCCAGGCACAGCRGCAAGCATGGATTTATCGATTCATGGAAAACGTCCTTATAAATTACTTCATTCAGATCAACGGGACAAGACAAAACGAGGACTCTCCTCAGCAGGGAGACATTGCAGTGCTATCGTTTCAGTCCCACATTCCAGAAGAAATCACTTTTTTTAAAGCAGACACTTCTTACAGGGCTTTGGGGGGCTGGCAGAGGGCGGCACAGAGGCCAGTGCAGATCTGTGTCATGTCCCACCCAGTCCCCACCTCTCTGCCCCACAGCAGGCAGAGCCAGCGGACGATTTTTGCAAGCAAACAGGAAAAAACATTGCTTGACATCAATTTCACGTCTGCAGAAACTCCATCCACACCTGCTTGCTGGCTTACATAGGGCTGCAGCCACCAGGTGGGATGGGACACAGAGACTGCTGCCTCCAASAGCATCCCAAACACTGCCCCAGCCACCCCTCCAAGGTCTGCTCTCTGTGGGACAGGCAGGTGGGACTGAGATGTGGCACAGATCCACGTGGATCTCTTCTGCACTGTCCTACGCCAACCCTGTGAAGCTACACTAGACGTGCTTGCTCTGAAARTGATTTCTCCTGGAGTATGGAGCTCCCAAATGCTGCAGCTTGTTAATCTTATCTGCTTCTCTTGCTTAGCAGGCTTTCACCAAGCTCAAACTCCCATCAGGGCTACCTGTGGTCTAGATGCAGGATGCTGAGCCAAGGCTAAGACCACTTTCTGCAATTGTTTGCTCCAGTGGCTAAATGCAGCTCAAAACAAAATAAATATCCCCATGTCCCTGTGCCTTGTTCAGAATAACACACACGTGGCTTTGGCTTACAGGCATGGCCTGCTTGCTGGGCTGAAGAGCTGCTGGATGACATTTTATAGCTCCTTGATGAAAAGGAAAGAGGAGCATTCCCATTCCCCAGCACAAAACAATTCCCCAGCACAAAACAATTCCCCAGCTTTTATGCATGTGCAGCACTTCCCTGCACACTCCTCAAACCAGGGTCAGGCGCTGCCCTTCCACCACGGGTTCAGCAGCAGCCCTGCTCCCAAACTGCCTCTTTTGCTAAGCAGAGCTCAAAATGCTTTCCACAGCTCCAAATCACTGTCTGTGCCCCCATGTTCAGATCACTCCTAGCTATGAAAATCTGCACCAGTGTCTTCAGACTACGCCACCAGCGACGACGCTGAGTCACGCTGTTGGACGCCTCCAGGATGGGACCCACCAAGGGCTTCTCCTCCTCCTCCTCTGAACTCCCCCGCTGGAAACATTAAAACTACAATTATCTCAGCGGATTAATAATGAGCATCTCTGGCAGCAACCCGAGGCAGGGACTCCCAGCAGCAATGAGTTAGAGTTAGCAGGGCACACAGGCACGCACAGCTGTGTTTGTGGTCCCCTACGCCCTGCCACGCTGCCTCACCCCTTCCCCAAAGCACACCCCGTTTCCCTCGGCACTGATTTGTATTTTGATAAATAAACGTGTCTCATCACATCTATTCATTTAACCCACCACTGAGGGGTTGCCATTCCCACATGCACTGGCTTTGCAGAATAAAATGCTAATGATTCCTCAATCTCCAGTGTGATGTGGTCTCTTGCCTCCTCCCAGCCCCAGGGCACAGCTCCTGGCTCTCCA